ATCTCTCCCGCGCACTGAATATAGCAGCTTTTCAGATAAATGTCTTCCCTAAATGACCATCGCAAATAGCCCCTCTTTGATACTGTGACTTGAACTTAAGCACAGAGCTTATACCACCCAATAAACCGTTGTAAATTTATGTGAACAACGCTGTAGGTGTTTCAGAAAAAAATCGTTCAGCTGTAGCATCCTTTTGGTGTCTAACTGCAATGCAACCAGAAGGAAACACGAGGGGTGGGATACCGACAAATTGCCCAAGCCTAGACAGGGGAAGTCAAGAGGCAAATATCGGGTTCGAACCACGGACCTTCCGGTCAGTAAATTCGCGCTCTAACCACTGAGGCATCTCAGAGGTGTCAGAAGTGTCATATGCTATTTCGATATGGACCAGGATGTGCACAAGGAATTAACTAGATGTACGCTTATAAGCACAGCACACAAGAGTGCTCGAGTTCTTAACTCATTGTGTGTAGATGTGTGGCTAAAACCTACCTCATGCGAGGAAGTTGACAGAACAGTTGGTCAAGCACTTGTCAAACATATTTCTTCTCGAAAGTGCTCACCAACACATTTAACTCAGCAGAGGAAAGTACGGTGCTTCGTGTGTGATTTATGGAGTGAAGAGATAACGATATCACTGACTGTGTCGGTTGATACCAGCTGTGAGCGAACGCTCTGAGCTGCGAGATCCATTTTACCGTAGGTCAAGTGAGGACGCATCCCTTTTTTGGAGAATCAAGATTAGTTTTTTGGGATGCACTTATCTTCCTAGGCAACTGGAGAGGTTGCAGGTAGACGTACGTGATAGTGTGACTGTGTAATTTGACCATGTCATGTGAGTGTTCATTTACTTTTTCAACCAATGTTGTTCCGTCCTCGCGAAGATAATCCTAAATAAAACCATTAATGCCATCCCCTTGAAGTATCAAATGATCATATAATACTGCTTCTTTTGGTAAAGGGTGATGCTTTGGATGTAGGTGACTTATCGAAGGAACCTTCAGTTCTCATCCAGTCGAGCAAGGGGAAAATTGCCACATGTCTGCCATGGGTAATACGATCGAATTAACTTCTGTTCTTCGCTCAGTTGATTTTTTTCCACGTGACCAGTTTGTGTAACTTCAACCTTCTTTGCCATGGATCATGTGTCCTGGGTATGCAGTCACAAGGCTCCAAAACAAATACACGACAGGAAGGCGAACAGCCCGAAAGATAAGGAGCAACTGGAACTCGAAGGTCGCTGTTTTATCCCCGCCAGATAGCGATACGTAGTTTTGAACCTAACCCAACATCCTGAAGTGTAACGTGAACATAATATGCGATGTGTCAGTAACGTCGTGGTCTCTTACAAAGGCTGAGTAATTCTTACTGGTGATCACACCCAAACAGCACGAATACAGGTTGTTCACCCGGTTAGTGCGAATTGTGGAGCTTACTGTATATGCTTTTAACTCCGCACACAGTGTCAATAATAAGTATTGAAATGGAGATTTTCGGTTTGAAAACCTAACATTCGTGTTTTTGAATTCCGGTTGGACGTATATGTTGTTTTTGTACACTGGATGCCGCGGTGTTTTAAATGTACTATTTACGTTCGCCCTATTCGGTACATGCCGAGTCCAATCTTTGTCAGTTACCTAATCCAGTGTGAGGTACGCTAATCTTGCCTACTTGTGCATTCAGATTTCAGACAACCTCAACGATATCTGAACATTCAGCTCGCCGCAACAAGGCGAGCTAAGAGCGACTTAGAAGTTGTACTTGATAGTGACAGGGCTACAGTCAGTTGGAACGCCAGCAGACACAACAAAAAGACATCGATCAACTTCCTGTTTGTGAGACTCCTTACTATGTTGGCCGGACGGACCGCATGGGGGTGATATCAGCTGACATCCATTCAAGGATCCTTCCGTCCGGGGACTTGGGGCGATAAACATCCTGCCATAGTAGCTTTTGGATCACCAGAAGTGGGCAGCCGGAAGAAAGTTGAGGGTGATGATGCGGTTTGCTCAAATACTTTGCTTGTATCTCGAATTCTTGTTTCTGATGCACAGCCCACGTGAATCTCAAGCAAATCCAGTGTAAGAGCAAGAGCAGCTTGTTGTTCTGCTCGCTCCAGAGTGCGGACAGTGAAAGCAGCCAGATAGCCCAGACGTTGAGGCGTGAAGGTTAATTTCGAGATGTCTGAAGATATCGGTATCGAATGACGCGCAGATATTGCTTGCGAAACCGATGCATGATGAACGGATTCATCAGTCCTAACTGCTGGGCCTACAGGGGCGGAGTGGGGAGAGGAGGAAGAAACTACATTCTTGGCGATACCGCATTCTCGTCTCACAGCAACTGCATAATCGAATACGGAGTTGTAGACACTAGCTGTCTTGTAAAGTGGACGTGCTACCGCGGCTTACCAACAGGGTTAAGTTTGGGACTGAAATTTATCGAGTCTCAGTACTCCGCTTAACCTAAGAGAAGTAGACGTTTGATGGGCTTTAAAATGTACTCCACAACTGTGAATAAGGAAACTGCATCAACATCATACATACTGATGGCACCAAGCAGCAATAACTACTTGCATTAACTGAAGGTATTTATCACTTTATTGGTATTTAGTTAGTTTACAAGTCTAGATTTTCTGAAGTCCGTCCGAGATCTAATCAAAGCCACCTGGTCAGCATCTGTTGTCAGTATCAGTCATATATTTTGAGAGACACAAAATTACGACAGTTTAGAACTGAAATGACCAGAATATGCAAGGGGTTCAAATGACTTCTGATGGACCAGCATTTACCCCGAATGGGGCATTCTCCAATTTGGTGTCATAAACAGAGCTTTTCAATATTCAAAAGCTAAATAAAAATCCTTATTAACAGATCAGACGCAGTGAATTTTTTCTCTCTAGTATATAAGATGCTACTTCCACTAAAAGAGTGCTTTTGGGGATCTTTCCTCATCCCATGCAATGACAGATTCTCCGTCGCTGAGACTTCCTGAAGAAGTGCGTAAACATTTAGATGTTGGATAAGATGGTGGTCGCTTAAGTGGGCAGGTACAAAGGGGACTACACTCCCCAGGTCTAATCTAAATCTCCACCCATCTAGGATTCGTTAGTCGAACCGGCATGGCGAACGAATGTGATTATCCACAGTCGTAGGGGCATTCAGAAACTTATCGGCAGAGTTGCAATACTTCAAGCAAGAGTTTTGAAGAGGAATCTCTGTAATTACTCGCTAGTGACTTTTCCTGTGGGGTGTTACCCTGGAATCACCCTATACTTTTTCGCTCCCCTAATGCATCTTCTTTTGCTTTTATGTTACTTCATTCACGACATGCTTCTGAAGGTTAATAATTTCTCTTGTAATGGTGCTCCCCACATCTTCTGACCCAAATTCGTTCTGGTGAAACTTTTGGTCATTAGATTATAATGAAAAAAAAACAGACGGTCCAATAGCCTCCGCCGCTTGTTTCACTTACGTCACGAGAGCGAGGCTACGAAAAAGACACTACTCATACAGCACTCAAAATACACACCCTGTGTAACTAATTGAATGGCGCAGTGGCAAATGAAGAAGAATACAAGTCTGACCTATTGTGCGTAAAATTACTGTCAGATTATTACAATTATATGAGCTCTACATTCCCCTTGTCCCTCCTCAATAACGGTTGACTAATTGGCTCTACCAACGAACTAGAAATATCATCGCTTGGAGTGACATTCGGAATCAGGTACATCTTCCAGTAGGACGGACACATTCTTGATGTCATTTGAATCAACCTATTGGTTGCCGTCTTTTTTGGTCAAAGTCAGTCCAAGACTTACGCCCAATCTCGAAAATCTCACTTAGTCATATATATATATATATATATATATATATATATATCATTATCAGCTGCTATATCCGCGTACTTGTCGTACGGTGGTTATAGCTACCACAGTTTCGTCCACCGATGATTCTTGGAGGTAGGGTAGGTAGCTGCGCATTGGAGGCGGGAGCTGATAAATTAGTGCATAAATACAGCACTGTAGGGGGAATGTCTAGTGGGGGGGTTCGGAAGGGAGCTATGCATTGAAGGCAATACCTTGGATGCATGAGCACCGTAGAGGACGCGACTGGGTTGCTTCAAAGTTGTCACAGGATCTTTGTGCCATTGGTTGACAGTGGTTGTGGACACGAAGACCTTTTCTGATGCGAACGACATTCCAAAATTCAATCATTCAGGTTTTGGACCACTACGAAGTAGAACTGCCTCCTAATCAGGTCGGAAAACCAGTGCTGGTCAGTGACTCTCGGATACTGCAACAGCCGACTATGGTTATAATCAACCGTCGTAATAATCTGTTTCTTGAGCTATGATAAGTTCATACTGCAGGGCATGAGCCTACCAATGCTGGTTCCTCTTTTCCCCGAATATATCTGGTGGTTGCGCGTATGCAAAAAATTAATCTGAGAAAGATGTCATAGTTTTTTATGGATGAAGTCTTTCACAATTTGAACTTGTTCTCCCTAATGGATGTCTCTTTTCATTTACATAGCCAAATGTACTATAAAAATGGCACCCATTAACTCACAAAAGGTCGGTGAGTCAAACCCAAAAAGAATTAATCAGATGTGCCTATTACCAGTCCTGATGTGCGTAGCACAAATAGAAAATATGTTTATCCCAAAATGCAAGTTCCTAAATAAAGGTGGGTCACTCTTTTCACGTTTTCGGAATGGCGCACTTTGTTATTCAAATCATAGTCTCAGACTTCCAATTTCCAGGGAGGAACTCGGACCTGCTGTCTCTGGTGGGTTCTGTTGAGGCGTGCTGGAGCACATGTGCATTAGTAAAGGTCTATTTTAAAATTAGCTCCGTCAGTTATTGAGGATCTTTTACACCTTATTGTTGACACGAACATCTATTTCCACAATAGCAGTTTATTAATGAGCGAAATGATCGACGGTTTAGCATGTTCAGTTGGAATTTTGATGTTTACGCCAAGCTTTTCTCTCCTTCAGCTCTGGATCCTTCCATTCCCGTCTTGGCCGTGTGCGGAGGTACAGATCTGAATGAGGATGTACGCAATCCGGACTATCTCCGACAGATGACCGAGAGTGTGGCCCGTAGTCGGTTCGTTCCATTTAATTGAGCCAATTTTGAGTGCATTGTAGAGCGGTAGTTCTGTTTGCTCCATTTATGCTAAAAAAGTTTCGAGAGTTATGGGTAAGTGTTCATTTTGCTTCTGTTCTATCACCTTTGAATGTACATTCACCATGTCGGAATTTGTGTTATCTGTATGTTATACATATGTTAGTTTTGGGAACCTTTGTCCCTTCGAAAAAAACCACGTGAACCAGAACTAGTCTCGTCCAATGTGTTCACTTCTGAGGGGCAAGAGTTAACCTATGAAGTAATGTTTGGCGTCTTCCGGAATTGTTATTCCCACAAGACAACTTGATTTTGTGGTAAAACCCGGACACTGGGGTTTGAATCGTTTCACAAATTACTATGATTATTAATTTGTTTTTGGGCCTGTATGAATGAGATCCGAGGGCCAGCATAAAGTGTACAGTGTTGTTTGACTTCCACGGTGGTTTGGTTCAATACTCGGTGTAAAAGTAATCGTTGTTCATCTGATTAACACGCGGTGCTGTATGTAAGCATGCTTAACCGATTCCAAGGTAACAAATTGCTGATAGCTACCACCTCTGTTGTTCAAACCTGATTCTTCTGGATAGTGACAGTCTGTGAATTCGCGAAACGTTAGGTAAATTTCAGGTGTTTCGTCGGTGAAGTGTGACTTACTCATGCAGTACTTGGCATTGTTGATTTATTACTACCTTGTAGTTGTGTTTTTATCTATTATCATGACAAACGACAGGATACTTTATGCTGGAAATGCAATCACATGGTGTTAACTTGGATAGGGTGATGACTGAAAGATTAAAAAAAACATTTTGTTGTGCCATGCTCTTGTAGACTAATCCTGAATCTGCCAGCTTTTAGACCAAACTGCAGTTTGCGGCCTTGACTAGCCTGTGATACGTATAAATTATTGAGTATGGATACTCGAAATCAAAGCCTAATCTTTTATGAGCCCAACATCTATTGCCTGAAGTTGAGGTCACGTACATGAGTTTTGTTCAGTATTCGTTTTCCCCCACTTCTAAATAAGGATCTGGCCAACATCAAAGAATTTAACTAATATTTTCAGGTGAAATTCACTGCGCACCTACAAGCTTTTTATCACTTACTATCCTACTCAGATTGTCAGGTCTTTTCTGAGGACTCATGAAGTTAAGCAATGAGATGATTGGTTGAATAGTACAGGAGCCAACCGAATCTAAAGTTTTGTACATAACGGAAATTTCACAGCTGTCCAAGCACTTCGTATGCTCGGGTCATTGTGACCGATCTATCAACTCCACGTCATGAGACACAATGAAAACGGAAGCCTTCGTGAGAATGAGTTATTTGGAATCCAACTACGTAACTCTCCACAAGAAGAACACTTATGATGGAGAGCCCAAATAGTTATAGTGTGGGATTCGCTTCTCTTGGATCAACGAGTTTTGTCAACCACAGGAGCAAAGAACACGGAATGGCTGTCATCCGAATCAGATTGGCCGGTTGGCAGTGGTCAAATTGTCCAATGCTTCTGCACCTGCTGACTCATGGACGGAACAAAACTGTGTGCTCCATGCAATTTTTTTCGTCAATCTTGACGGACTGAATTAGGTCGGGGGAGAATATGCAGACACCTGTTTTCAGTCACCACTCGATTCACAGAAGGTGGCATAACGATCAACCAGCGATCAACCACCGAAGCGCTGGTTTCAATTTCAAGACCTCTCTTTTCCTCAAGTTGCACAAACTCTCCCGGGGGAACTCATTAGTGTGTAGTCAAGTTTGAATTCGACAACCTGGAAGTATTCCATTAACCATAGAACCATTGAGGCTGTCGCTCCTAGAATGACGGTATCAGGCAAAATGGAGCGAAATTATATTGGCTACAGTTATTGCAACTGAGCTGTTACTCACAAGGCTTATTTTGCTTGGATGTTTGCGTCTCTCAGTTTCTCAGTTCCACTGGCTGAAACCCTAGTAGGAAGATAGAACTTCTCTCTTGTGGCTTGCTCGTTTTGCATCTTTTGTGACCCACCACGTCTGAAGGATTCTCACTGCTGCGCAGATTGTCAGAACCTATAACGATCTGAGATAGAAATCACCGATTCTTAAACTTGCTTAAAGGCTGTCCCAACATCACTTGATTCCACACTCTACTCTTCAGCTGACAATAGATAAGCAGTCTTTGGAAGCCCGGCTCTGACCAGTTGTTCCGAGTGACCCAACCAACTGGGCTGGTTTTGCATTCGATTACATATGTGTTTGTTCTTCGGAGAACCTCGTTGTTCCAGATTCCTTATGCACGGTTAGAGCAAAGGGGTTTCCACAGAATTCGCAAATGAAACTGGTCACGGTCACTAACGTGCCGTCCAATTAGTGTTTAGGTTTGGCGCTAGTGAACACGACACGCTGGACCCATGCGCCGCACTCTTGTTACCGATGCAACTTTGATGATCGCTTTGAGCACGTTTCTCAAGGAGATCAAATACCAAGCGTCCATTTTACTATTGCGCAAAGACTCTAGGGATAATGTGCCGATAAGGCAACAGAAACTTACTACCCCACACGTATCCAATTTATTGTGTTAAGTCCGTGGTGTGAGCTGATGGAAGGAAAGTATTTTGTGAACACATTTAAACCAAGGCGAGATACAGTTGAACTGAGGTCCGTAGGACGGTGCTTCTACTCCGCTTCAGGAAGGGGTACTAAAGCGAAAGAGTCCACAAAGCGCAGCGTAAGAACGTCGGTGAATAAACACTCCAAACAGAATAGATAGCTATCAAACTGGTACCGAATTGGCGTACAACGTTCGCAGTGATCCTAATTCTCTGCGATGAAGGCAGTAAGCCAGCGGCTCTAGGGAGTGCGGATAAGAACACAACTCTGCTTAATTGCTGTAGTGGCATCGCACTCAATTTGGCTAATCGTTCAGGCTTGCATTCTAGCATGCGCAGCTTTGTTGGGATTGACAAATTTATCCGAACGACCAGTTTTATGATGATTCACAGTGCTTCTGTGTCGACTGGATAGAAGGCTATGACAATGTCCACCTACAGCCTCTAGACCAGCTGGTGCTGTCCACAATATTTCTCCTATACTGCTATGCTCGTTTTGAGGCCATAATCTAGTCAGCCATACTTCGACTGCTTTAAAATCCACACTGGTCTACAGGAATGTTTTGTTGATTAGGCCGGGTTAACACAACTATTTTGTGTTTAGAGGCGTACACGCCCAGAATTTGAACGAGTCTATGTGACAGACGATATCCGCCGATAGTGAGAATATGCTCGTCACTCAAAGTTCACACGCCGCATACTTAATACATTATCCATTGTCGCTCAAGAGAGTTACCAGAGGGTTGCAGTAGCATCTGTCAATCTGCCAAATCGTTGCCAACTCCCGCGTCGAAAGGAAACAATAGAAGTCGCACATATGATCTTTCTTGTCAACTGATGATTGAAGTTGTTCTCTTCCTTGTCTGAGCGTGGTAAAACTTGTCCTGGGAAGTCGAAATAAAATGGTTATCATTCAGCGACTCATGTAACTTTTATTCAACCACCATTCCCTGATTCATCAGGATTCATATGACACTGTATTCACACTAGACTTACTATGGTGAAAAGTAAAACAGGAACGAGCCTCTGGTAGCTTCTTCTCATGAGTTAGCCACATTTTACTGAGTGCAGCTAGATCATTTCCGCTACGTCTGAGTCACCTCACAACAACAGCAGCAGCCCGCTTTTTTAGCCTGTTCATCAGATCATACTATAGCTGAGTTGTTACGTCCCAAGTTCTGAGTAGCAAGGTACTTTTGGGAAAGTGAAGGTTTTGTGGCTGTTGAGAATGGATATAAGGACTCTGTTTCAGTACTCCATTCTCAGCCTTCGGCCTCAAGAACTGAAGCATAGGCACTAGTGCGCTAATCTAACCTAACATAGCAGGGGAAAGTGCAACTGCTAACGCTACGGTAGGTGATTTCTGAGCAGCACCGGATCCTTGAGTCTGAAAACCTTTCGATGGCGTTGGATAATGCGTCGTCGACCGATCGCTGGATGGTCCGAGTGTGAGGTTTTTAATACCGAATCTTATCAATCCGTCCTAAATTAGGGGACACTACATGGAGTGGAATTAAGACGTTGATCGCTCTGGACAAATACGTTATCATTATTACACTCCTGTCACCCTGTATTGTTCAGATTTTCGTGATACAGAGAATTGCCTCTTTTTGTCGAATTGATATGAAGTGTTTGAACCGAAGGGGAATAGAGTCCATCCGATTCGACCCACACAATCAGTGCGGTACTAGAGTCCAGCCATCGTCGAAGGCGCCAACTTTAGTTTTGCTGGAAAACTAGATGATTACACAGTAGAACACTCAGCGTAGTGTGGTATTTTCACGGTACTCCCTTGTCAGGTCACCAAACCACATACAGCCGATTAAAAGTCATTGTGGTCTTAGCAAAAAAGTAAACGGAATGATGTAGTAACCAGCTACAGAATAAGAATGTCCATGGTTCCGCACCCACCCCAAACATAAAACAGACCTTAGCTTGAATCAATTCTGCCGCTTTGACCTAGGTTACTACTTTGGCATTTCACACACTCTTACTGGGTTCAAAAAACATCTATCATGGAATGTTTCTTATGTTAAAGTAGCGTTTCTGACTTAAAGCTGGAATAATTTAATTCATACCTTACCGTTTCGAACTGTGCAATCCTATACGTAAGTGACCCGTTCAAACCCGTATTGGAGCGCTTTCAATTCCTCAAGCCTAATAAATGTGCTACTTACCATGAGGTATTTAAGTGCAAGCATATTGCAGCCATAAAAAAATACTACCCCACAGAGGAATAATTTTGCAAAAAAGAGCGGCTCGTGATAACTAAGAATGGTGCCACTCGTAAGCTTAGTTGACTGACACTAATGCCATTCTCAAATTGAAATTTTGATGCCCTACCCGGGGACCCCCACAAAGCAAAATTTGCCCCCATCATTAGCCTAACGACATCCGGTTTTCGACATATTTCTGCCATGGTAGTCCGTTGTTGTGTCAAGTTTCAAACTGTGGTAAGCATAAAGAAGGCAATACCTTTAGACCAATAAGTTTATAAATTTTTTTTGCGATGCATTATTAAGTGAGTTAAATGCAGCCATCACCGCTTGAGCAAGCCTGACTCAATTAGCTCATGAGGTACGCACTAATAACGATTCTCAATAAGGACAAAACACCGGTAAATGGTGCTCGGCTTCCCAGAAATCTTCCCCTACGGGACGAAATCTCATTACAAATTCCAAAATCTCAGACTGATGACAAACTGGAAGTTCGCTACCCCTTTGTACTTTCGAAAGAGCTGCGTAGTTAGTCTGTGTAATGTGTGATAAATGAATTTAAACCGTCTGCTATCTGTTGATTTTGTAGCTCCAAGAGCTCATAGAATCCCGCATACCAACACAGTTTTAATCTAAGATAAGACATCTAAAAACTTTCGGCTGTATTTTGGCGAAATCTTAATTATGTTGCCCATTGATCACCATAGATATTCCAACCTGATAGAATTTGTCCGATCGATTGCATTCAACATTTCAGATAGAGCTAACTGTATGAAGGAAACTAAAACAGCGTTAGAAAAAAATTGAAAGCATCGTCTCTGTTGGTCTACTTGATCTTGCAATTTTACGGAAACGTCTTATCGTCCTAGCCTTTGATAACAATATGAAGGCGTACTAGACAGCTGCCAGCCATTTCGTTAAACTCACGTCCACTAAAGAACAGGCTCACATCTATGAATAGATAAACGCAGTTAACTAACCTGTAGCGGCTTCTCCTATTAACTGATCTCATTTGAGTTGAGCATGAGTGAAAAAAGTGACTGAGAAATCAAACGAAAGATATTTTTTGGGAGTTACTGTCTCCGAATACTGGTGTGTTTATCACATGTACCTGGCGTACTGCAGACTCAAGAAAAGTAACCTCCTAGGAATCCGTGAATCCAATAAAATTCTTCTGTTGGTGGGGTGGCGCTATCAATATTTTAAGTAAGAGAAAATTTTCGTAAGCATATTTCGGGAAAATGAGTGAATTCGTCCAATTTCTCTCGAACCACACTCGTCACGTCTTAGAGTGATATTTAATAGGAACCACTTTTCCAAGTGGGCGCCTTAGAGTTAAATCGCAGAGCACTATCTTATGACTGTCTCTCTTTTAGTATCCCGAGGAAATCAGGCATCCAAAGCCACATAAAAATGGCAGTTCTCAGCTAATCCCCTGCCGACTCTGAAGTGATCTATTTGCCATGCGTTTTGGCGCATATTCTTTTGTTACCTGAATACATATAAAGGTTTTTATCCGCCTTTTTTGGAGGGAACGGCATACGAATAGTGTGGGCAGTCCTAGTCACAGTTATGAGATTGACGCATTGCATAGTCAACGGCTCTCCGACCGCTGCAAAATCTGCACTAGTCTTTAGGTCTACAGAAGACTTGTACTTCCACACCAAGTTGTAAGGTAACTGGTATAGACGTTCCTGATTGTGAAGTGTGTGGTCACCCGTAAATTTGGAGAGAATGAATGTTCGGTAAGCAACGGAAGACAATAATTTTCGGAGAGAAGTGGTAAATTTACCATTCATAAGGATATGCCAAAGTACACCAGAATGAGTCCTATTTTGGTGCATACAAGCTCATTCCCCCAGAGTATAGCGATAGGGAAAATCAAATTGATTGTAACTACCCTTTTGCTATACTTTTCCTTTGTTATGTATCAGCCATCCTATCCAGGACTGGTGGATATTATACCGCAAGGTAAGTTTCACATTGGATGAGGAGAATTTATTCAGCAACAAAGCCTTCCACATGTACTTGTACACTAAGTGGTTTCGCCTATCGTTTCTGCTTTCACAGGACCTGTTTTAATGTTTTTTGCCCACAACGACCACTCCCTTGGGATGTGTTCAGCTTTCCCGGTAAATCGATTTCCAAATAGGGAAGCGCTATGTTGAAAACGGGATGCTGTATTTTTGTTTTTCGTGTTTGAAATTGCTCACGCTTAAAAAAATTGTGGACTGTCCTCCGGTCGTCAGACTATAGGCTAACAGAAGGGCCGTATCCAAACTTGCGTGTTCACTCAATGAAAATGCTCTCTCTCAGCATGATTTTTGCATTTCAAATAATCGACTTGTTCTCACAAGAGAACTGTTACTGCTTACATGCACAAGCTCTTTTAGCCTGTTGACTATACAGGTGAATGCTCTATACGACTAGTTCAGAACTGCAGGTATTTAATTTTTGTTAGTAAATGTGTACTCGCTATAAGACAGTTAGTATCAAAGTTCAACACCCTATACAAAGTCCTCAGTCGGGTGGACGCAGCTCTTACTAATACGTAACTTGACTAACCGTGCCGAATTGAAAATGCATGGAGTAGATATGACGGATAAAGTTGTTGTCCCGCTGCGACTTATAGGATCAGATAAATTAAAGTGTAAATAAATGAGCGGTAAGTCAAGCATCAACCTAATCCTGCTGATTGTGGGAGTCGTTATGAGCACAAATCTATAGACTGCGGAGAGAGTTTATATCCGGACTGCATGCTAAAACATGTGAACTGTTTCCAACAGAATGATAACAAGAGCAGATACAAGCCATTGACTCGCTTAGCGCCTAACGAATAGTGGCTTTCTAAAACATGTTATGAATGCACGTGGTTTCGGGAAGTGATTGGAGAAAATCCGTATAACTTACTTCGAATCAAGGTCAGAGCTAAGTGCAAATCAAGTAACACTTCAGCTACTGAGGAACCGCGTTTCTTCTTGTCTAAAAAGCAAACGAAAGTCCGTTTGTTGCAGAACATCCTAGACTTAGTGCCAGAAACTTGGAAGAAGACGAAAAACTTACCTTCTCAGTGCACAAAAAACTGCGTTCATCAAAAGCAACATCTGGTTCCAACATTATAAGAGAATGAAGTTCGAGACAAAGTGACGAAGATCCGGTCGATCTTGTGGTGCTGATTGCCACTCATTGTTTGGAACAGCGATTTTAACCTTAAAAAGTGGCCAGTTTTCTTCTTCATAGAGAAGCAGTATAACATTTTGAGCGGCCGTGTAAGGTTTTGTCGCTAAAGTATCCTAGCGTACTGACTGAAGCAACACTTGTCCAAAGGTATGGTCATATGAAGAAACATTTTACAACTATGAAGCTACTAAGGAGGTAGTCTTCCTCCAGTTGAATGCCTGCAAAACGGCGACTCTCAGATGTGTGCGTGTTTGTCTATTCCATACTGGGATCATCGTGAATGCTTTTCAACACTGTAGTAAATCTGGAACGCTAATGATATTTGCCATTGTAATATCTACCGAATTTGTACACATACGGGTTACATCCAATAACAGAAAAAAGCTCAAATCATTGCCGCATTAACTTTTCATGATTTGTGTTTCCTTTTTGTGGTATGCCAAATTGCAAATCTTTTCCAACCGGGATTCCTGATGGGGTCCTTCGCTGATCATAGGAAACTGCGTACCACATGGTGTTATTTCAAACTAGCAACTGGTCCAAGGACAATATTCTTCCCATTCACTGTGTCTCCCACCCGCTTTATACATTTGCAAAGGAGGAGTGGTGATAATCGTGATGCAGACTTTGTGCCTGTGTGGGTTTTGGCATGGTTCCTTTCCCTCCGTTTCTCGCGGGCATCGTCCCAGCGCAGCTCTTGTCCAGTGTTTTATGCCATTTTCACGTTACTAGTTCGTAGCCAGTAGTAGCGCTCACTTGCAGTATTTCATCTTGTCCGCTCGGTAGCCGTTCCATGGGTCGAATGGACTGCACGCAGTAGGTCACGCGGCCGAGAGCATAGGATAAACAGATGTTTTCTGCATCCGCGGAGTGAAGTTAACAAATTTCTAAAATAGTTGATTCTAACTTGCACACAGAGTGCACTATCGAGTGCGCATAGACGTCTGTTTGGTATTCCAGTTAAAGCCAATTGTTGCGTCCTATTTAAAATCCGACAACTATTTTTCATGTCACTTGTACCTTTAACGGACATGTGTGGTGCATAGCGTATATCAAGTATGATCATTCTTCCTCAGTTAAGTTGGTGGTCAGGGTGAAAAGTGAACCACGAACTTCATGATGACCAGAGTTCGTACCCCGGCAAAGAGAGATAGATTTTGCTCAATGTGTATACCTGTACAAATTTCACTTAATTTAGGTTAGGAAATGACCTTGCCCCTAGATGAACTGAATCCGTATTTCATCCGCCACCTCATTCATAAAAGTCATCCAAAGAGTGACGATGTAATCAGTCCGTTTCGTGCTGAAAATTTTCCCGCTACCTCCGAGGGGAGCGCAGTCTATTTGGGATTGCCAAAAACCTAACTGAAGATCACACTTCCTGAGAGCAATTAAATGGAATGCAGCCGGCTTGTATTATTGTGCACACATTGACTGTAATGTCAGGCGAGTAGGTTTACTAGTGTAACGGTGATGCTACTAAAGGGGAGGCATGCGTCTCTTGAAAAGTGGAGATCTTTTGTGGAATTTGTGGAGTCGCTTGTAGCTTTTCTTTGAATTTGAGCAATGGATGATTGGAGTCAATGAATATCCAGGAAATTTCAAGAAGAGGCATTCAGAAGAAGATGGATGTCAAGTCTTTGTAAATAAGATGCAAATGAGAGTTTTGCTTCTTTGTCCAATAGTCTGTAACCGGTCATTTGGCATTTTCCAATAAATAACTCCGCAGCGAAGGCCTTCTTCCTTTCACTAGTACAATCTGGGCGTCTCTTGAGTCGTTGAGCAAATCACTAACATCGCTCAAACGTAAGCACATTTGCCTGTCCAGATTTACGATGATGGGGCGGCGGTAAAACATTCGCCTCTCATGTCGGATATCCGGAGTTCAGCTCCCTGCACTGTCAAAGATTTAAACGCCAGATGAGCTCAAATAAGTAGAAAACTCCAATGCCTCTCGCTTTGATGTAAACCATTAGACTGATTGCGCTGGGACAGTAAGGCCTCTTGGTATTACTTTTGATTTTGGACTCAACTCTTGAACCTGATTTTCCTGCATTTCGGGTCATGTTGTGAAAAATGTGATCTTTGTACATTGAGTTCAGTGATCAATTCTGTTGTCGGTTTGGCACAGCTTCCAACGTATCCCGTCGAAGACGCGTTTGCATCGAAAATTAATCAAATTTCCAAGCTGCACTTCCTGGGACTGAGTACGCAACATATTCTCCTTATGAAAGTTTTTTTCACTTCAGTAAAATTCATGGTTGTCTACCAAGCGAATAACTTGGGTGAAGATAAATTCAGTAACCCACCCAAACTATTGAAATGCATTCAGGTATCCGCTCCGTTAGTTTGACATTTCTTTCTACACACGAGGAACCCAAGTAAGATGGGCAGCTAACAGAATATAGTTTGAACATATATAGGTGGGTGGTTTGAATTTAAGTAAGTAAAGGTGTTTTCAGTCTCTTTTTAAGCCACTGCATATTTCTTTTACGACTAGCTTTAACATGTGATTTTCAAACAGATGTTATTACATCTGTACAGATATCAGTTGCGAGCATGAGTCAACTTAGCGTGGTTTTTTCTCCCCCTTTCGCAGTTAATCTGTCATAATTTTCCTATGATATGTTCGTGTGCTGATCTTGAACCGACCATGTTAGTTGTCCTCTTGTTTTTAGAAAATTACCCCTGTTTCGTGACAGAATTACTGCCATTAGTTCATTAAGCAGCGGACTGCATGGATGTGTGATTGTGTGTTAATCTCACGTTCTTCTCCTAATCGACCGCTCTATTCCCATCAGAACAATTCGTTTGACCAATGAGATACCTATTTCTTCAGGTTTAGTCCCAATTCTGTGTGGCAAAGTGAGAACAGAAGCAGACGTCTTTCCTGCTGTAACCGCTGGTGGTGGGAAAATCGAAATCTAGTCATCCCAAGTTGGCTTGCAAAAAATATTTTGTGAACGTTCCACCTGAAATTTACAGTCCAGCTCTTCCAGCTGGTCAAATTGAATACAGCGGTGATCCACTAGGACGAAATATAGTGTTGCCACATAATTGGATCAAAGTGTCATTTACAGTTAGTCATCAACACTTCATATTTCAGTTCGGCTTTCCTTGGTCCATCTTTTGGTATACTTTTGGTTTTTCAACTAAAGATTCTCTCTTTTAGGATGTTCATTTGGTTGAGTTGGGTGTAATTTACCCACCCGGTTTCGATTGGTGAAGGTGACATCGGCAGCACTGCGTGCTGTTGTGCAAAGTCCCCTTGACCATAAACGCGTATGTATGGTTTCCTCACCATCTTGACCCCAGACGTGATAACTAATATAATACATGTGAACTTGTGTATTATGGTTCCTCTTTCATACAATGCCACATGTGTTACCCGTTTGGCTTGTGAACTTAATACGATTTACAAATTATGATCAACTCTAATCTAAACATCTCATCCAGACGGATAGCCATAAGGACTGAAAGCTTATGGTATATTCTTGCAGCATTCAACAAGAAGCTTTAGAAGTTTTGTACACACAGGATCGTTGCTGACCGTGCGTTCCGTCAGGAGCGTTTTGAACGTCACTTTTCAAAGTGATCAGGGGTTGGGATTATAACAACTCCAAATGTAACCAAACTAAAAGTGCAGTTAAGGCATTGTGGACAACAACGGGAAACTAATTATTGCGATTTGCTTCCCAGCATATGGGCTTTGGCCAAAAATAGCACTAACCCTGAGTCTTGTGTCTGCTGAGCCTTTTCTCCATGTACAGATAAACATCAATGATATAAAGTGAATACCCAAACTTTTCAACCTTCAAAATCTTGGGAGATGGTTTGTAAGAAGTAAATACGAAAGATTTGATTTTGTAAAGGGACACCAATAACGTGCATGCCAAACGAGGTCATCTGGTCAATAGGAAATTACTCGCTGTTTTAGCAAGTTTTCGGACGCCTAAGCCACCTTATGAGGATTGAAATTATGGTACCATCGCCAAACAATAGGTGATATAATACGCAGAGTGCATGTGGTCACCATAGCAAAGTTTGTAACGCCTTATCGGACAAACTCAATGTAAAGTTCGCATCCAAAAATGTCTCTGCAATGACACCACATAGAACAAACTGTGGATTTACACGTTGTCAAATCGTATTAATCTCATGTTAATCCGAAAAAGGCTTGATATAACGAATACTTTTCCTTACCTTAGATATTAGTGAATCGCTTGCGTGGCCCATTTGTTTCACGGCGGTTTTGAAAGATTTCATCACTGAAATGACATGACCTAAGGGGCGATGTTCATATCTGTTGGAAAAATCGAGCGATGATGAATGTTTTATAAGGGTTTGTGCACGAACACTCTGTGCTCTTAGTGATTCGCTTCTCGAACTCTTGTGAAGATCCATTCCAACCAACGATCTCACGGTGATTTAGCTGGGTTTTATCGCGCGCCCTGGGACGCACTTTCCACTGAGGCTATTTCGACTTTATGGTAACTTCGCACTCCATTGATAGGCACAGTACGATGACAATGGTGCATCTTCTGGTAAGGATGCATTTTAAGCGGCAACCACCTCTACAGTGTTAGTTATCAGCATTCTGCAAGATATCCTAAATCATGAATATTTTGCGAGGTATTTTAATTTCACGTAACGTCATTAGAGTCTTGTAAAGTCTGCACTTATCCTCTGGTTATATTTTTTCCTTGTATTCACACTTTTGGTTCTGCGAACCCAGTTATGATTAACTGCACTAACATCGCTAATTACCTGATACTAAGCTTATCGTTTTCCTGGGAAAATGGAATGTTTGTTTACACAGTTTTATATATATGCATAACCGTTCCGTTTGCAAGTATTTGATAAAATTCAAAACTTTAGAATCACCAGAAGCGTTGAGTAGCCGAGGTCCTTTTGTGATATTTTTAACCAACCCCGTTGTTAGTCGGAATTCTGAATGATGCTACGATAAATGAACAGGGATTGTTTTTTAGAAGCAACAAGAAAACAATTCTGAATCTGCCCACTCTGTTCTCTAATGCATGTAGGCGTCGCGGAAGTTCATGAGGCTCTAATGGACAACCATGGTTTATGACACTGTGAATTATTGTGTTTATATCCGGGGGACATGGGTTTTTCGGTGTAGCAATTATATGAAATTATGGATTGCTTAACCATTCACGGCAAGGAATTTTTAGTACTTTGCTTGCCTGCACCTTCTCCCAGGGAGAGAATAACAAAAAGTATTGCTAACAAGAATAACCGACCTATTAGGCCATATCGTTTCTAAATGAAATAATGTTTGTCATACACTTCACGGTAGTTGCTGAATCATGAAATGGTTATACAGTTCGACAGGCAGTCAGCCAATTGGGTTGAAATATCACTACGTGGAAGTTCCTTCATTTCCGGATCGCCACTTCTTACAAAACACTGTAGACGATCAGCCTTTCACGTACCAACTTGATAAATGCATCTGCCAGCATTTATACTGACATTTGATTCAAAACTAAAACAGTATGTGGCTTCCCGAAGCCGAATATTGATGTTTCGGTAGTATTGCAAAGCAGAAACAAATCACACCATCTGTATTCAGATACAGTAGCGAGACATTTCGATCCTGAGAACGGCAAAATGAGAAAACTACTTATTAAGCTACTGAAATCTCTTTGACAGCCCATAACCGGTTTCTTCCCCGTTTTGGGGCTCATCGCGTAAGCAAAGTCCCCAATGTTTTGTCAATATTATCGTAAAAAAGAGATTTGACTGGGATTGAAGGTAAGTCCCACAAAGGTTTAATTCGTCCTCCCGTGTAACACTGATTTCCTTTTAGGTGTCATTCTACCATTCATTCGTTTTACAGCACATTGTGGGCTTTAAAGCTGTTAGCTTAATTGGGTGGGTCAGTTGTTACTCTCTTTGTCCTTGTAACTCCGGTCAAGTCTACTTCCTAAATTCACTTGAAACTCTTCTCCCAGCCTGGCATCATCAGACTGCCTACCAACTAAGCAGCTAAGTGTTTGACTGAGAGAATGGGGTGAGTGGTGGGGGTTGTCTACGGTTGTGTGCTGCACACTCGTAATGGCTTGAAAATATCGCCGCATCCAACTACTTATAATCACCCAAGCCCGTACTGCTCCTCATGTCTTCCTTAGAACCACTGCACGAAAAGTCTTGAACGTGATGCATGAAACAAAATTGCGTAACGTGAAAACTACCTAATCCAAGACCACCACAGGCGAAAAACTCTCAGTGGAGTGCCTCTTTAAGTCTGCTGACAATCTGGAACTACGTAAGTCAGGTTCAGACTGAGGAGGCATGTTTATAGCCAGCTAATTCACCCTGTTTTTGCATCCCTAAGGTTTGTGTGCTCTGCCGCTTAGGAATTACCGATCTAAGATTTTCTAACGGCTGAACAGCAGAAGAATGTATTGCTCAAATTTACACTTTAAAAGGCATACTTATGGTGTTACTACTGCGTTCTTAGAATACTTTTCAGGCCGATGGCTGGCCAGTAAGCTGGCTGTGAAATGCTTCCCTGCCAAAAATATCCAACAAGACCCAAATGTGGTTGAGAGGTGTTTTTGCATGACGTTTTATTCAGCCTTATAGGAAATTAACAGGCAAATTTCTTCTCCAGGCATTGGGTTGATACTGGAGCAAAGTTTAGAGAAGAAACACCTCAAATCAGCATTTATATGCATCGGTTTCCCCTGGGGCGCGTAAAAAGATGGTCTAAACTCTGCGCGGCCAAACGAGGGCTGATACGAAACGGTATGGCATGTTCTTTACCCGTTTTCTAAAAAATGTTGGGCTTGTTGTTTGCAAATTACACAAAACTGACCGAAAAATTACGGATGAACTAGCAGTAGATGCAACAGGCAACATCCGTTCTTGTTTAGGCGTGATAGGTGGATCTAAGGTGTTTGATTAAACGTCTGACCTTCTGGATTTTCGGTGCTCAAAATGCTAGAAGTGCGGTATCCATGTCTTTGTATATTTCAATGGTTCCACTTTTTTGTTGCTTGGTGGTACTACTTATACCGGCTCATCAGTGAATACGGCAATAGCCAACACAGATTTAAAAATTCGCGCTTCAAAATTTAGGCTAATCCTATCACTCTCACTCTGCGTTGATCATTCTATTCTTGGTCAAGGTGTAAAAATTCTTCGGAATCTTGACCAGAGTCTACTGTTTATTCCGCTTTTTGTTGGTTACGAGCTCGGCGTGCTTTTTGCCACACACACGTGGAAACTGCATTAGTTCACTTCCTTGAATTAAGTGTATTCCAAAGCATGCTACCGGAAGGTTTGCCAGTGGCTTTTTGAAAGTGTTGCTCTTCCAGGGTATCCACGTGCCGCCAGTTCATGTTACCTGAACTTATTGATTCATGCGTGTAACGGTACCGTATTTAACCGGAAAAAGCTTCATTTGACCGTTTGTTCTTAAAGCTCGTTGATAATATTACTGTACATAAATGTGCTATTGTGCCTCTTTCGTACTTTACTCACAGTTGTTCGTGTAGACGAAATGTCGGCTCGTAAAAATCTCTCAATTCACCGTCGCTGGTTGGAAGAGCAAGTTGGATGCAAGATGGAACGGTTTTTCATCATTGCTGGACGACTAAGACCAGTGAAGGATCCAGAATTTGCATTGACGCCATTTTTGGGTATGTAAAGCATGTGACACGATCGTTTTTATTTTTTAATTTACTATTCGACTATTTAACGGAACATCCATTTTATGATATAGACAAACCACAGCAAACTTTGGGGTACAAACCTTACCTAATAGGACCCATGGTTATAACATTAACCGTATATTATTTACCCCATAAACAAGGATGCTGAACGGTGCTGTGTTCGGAGAAAGCTTCTTCTCGGTATTTTCGGACATTCACTATGATACGCTGGCTTCTATTTTGGCCAAAGTCTTATTTATACCGACATTAGACCAGGTCTGTGTGAACCACTCAGGTCCTAATGTGGGTAGCCTTCCTTGGTTATTTACTGGCCGACAATCGAATGCTTACCCATGGAAATTACTCTATAGTAGATGCTGAGAGACCGATCACCGAAAATTTCTGTTTAAAACTGTGCTGATATTATAGTGGTATCAGTCAGCCATCGCTGTTGGAATGCATTTACTGTTGCCACATAGTGATTAGTTTGTCTGGGGTAGAAGCGAAAGTATCAGTATGCAACACTGCAATTCGTCCACAAATTGGCGGACAGCCCAGTGAATACTTGGTGTAACCTAATTTACCAGAACTGGTGAATTTATCCACAAGATTGGTTCAGTCTTGTGGCTGCCGTCGTTGAATTGATCACTCTAGTTTTGCTTCCGTTGTTATAGAGCTCATTAAAAGATCATTTTTCTCTCGGAAAACCATGTGACTTTCAAACAACTTCCCCATCACATTACTAGCCCTAGTTCTCATCCATATATGAGGCTGTGAAAATGCATCTTGATGGCTTGGGTTGATCACTTAATGGAAGTAGCTGTGAATATTTAGCAAATTAAAACCATAACAACGAAACTTCATAAAAGTCACACTAAAATATGTGAGCTACCAGGTCTCTTCACAGGGGAACTGTAGTCATGTCTCCCTGAGCAACATCGTTAATGAAAAACACATCCAATCTTAGAAAGAATGTGGAATCTGATGGATATCTCACATTCTGTAACTAAGATAGCGAATTCAGAACGAAAAACGCTTTAAAGCTTTATACCATGATATCTCGCTGTTGCTCTCCCAAACCATACAGCTGCTTGGTTATAAAGTCGAGTCTTTGAATTTCATGTTACTGGTCGTTAAAATATTGCGATAATGCACGTTGTTATCCATAGAAAAGCCATAATAGCTTGGTCAGTAAAACCTTTACAGCCGTAAGCAAGCGGTGAATTCACAAAAATTTTCGTCATTTATAAGAACATAAAGTAATATGGCGCCTTCTAGGTGGCTTTCTGCTTCTGTTCATTCTGATTGAGGGTATCCCACTTCTCGCTTAGCTCTGACTTCTCTGATTGTTGCACTTGTTTACTAAGCTTCGATGTTTGCAAAGCGCTCTTTGCGCGGTAATTATTTTATTGACTGCTAGGCTGACCGCCAACCGATATGTTGTGATCACCACAGTATTAACAGGTGAAACACTGGACACATTCATTTGAGTCCCAAGGGCTCGCGACATCGGAATTATTTGTTACTAACATTTCCGTTTAGTTATATATGCATATATAACCAAATAGAACGACAGTCTAGTAGTGTTGAAGGTCGAGGTTCGATGCTAAACGTTGCCTCTGACGTATAGAAATACGCGTCAAGTCCAAAGTTGACTGCATGAATTTTGAGCAATCTCTTGGACCCCTTTCTACAACTCGGGATTAGATGCCTGATAACTGGGTTCCCAAGAAGGGATTTTCGGTAGACCGGTATATCCAGCGATATTCTTTACTTAACAGAGTGGAACAGCGAACCCCTGATGCCAACGACCGGAGCTTCAGGAGACAACGATTGGTTCTTTGAGCCACATCACCACCACCTCGTCTACATAGGATCAGTGGTAAGTTGTTCTTCCTCTGATATAGCATTCCCTTAGGTATGTATGCTTGCATTTCCAATGCTCCACCTAAGCTTCTCATTCGCTTGCCTGTTGAAGACCTTCAAAAAGGCATTTATCCTACATTTTGTGCCTTTCAAGCCCCAGTGTATGTATCCAATTAGGCAGAAGGCTAACCTAGTATAGAGGAACTCTTAAAAGAAACCACCTTTGGTTGACCCCCTTGAGCTTACTTTAGAACAAATTTACTATGAAACAACACAACTTCCGGTCATTTCCTGCAGGTGGACTTTCTAGAGAGGAAGAATAGTAATATCATACAAAGACCACGATAGGCTCCTGCAACTGAATATTGATTAAAAAAAGACGTCAGCTGGGAGGTGAAACCTTAGATGGCTATTGAACGTGGTGCGATACTGTTGGAGTAACTATGCTCACATTAAGAATAAACAATCGGATAAGTACATTCTGTGCAGCCCATTCGTGCGCAATGATCGGATGTAGTTGTGATCGACGCATGGTTCTGGTACATTTACCGTAGTGACCAAACTGCGGTGAATGTCTGAAAGTTTCAGCAGATCTGTGACTTACGAAAATAAGAGCGACTACAAAGTAGCATAGAACCATTTTACAAGTTCAACGGATATGTACTGTACGCACCATGTTTGGGGACAAAATTGGAGGCTTCTTATATAATAGTGTACTCAAAATTTGGAATATTTGGCACTGTACAAGTTCCTTCCGTTGAAATGTTGCTTATATGGTGGCTTCTTAAGAGCGCCTAATTTACCGCCCGCTTGACGTTTGGTTTAACCACCCCCGTCCGACGGACGAATCAAGTGCTCAGCGGTCACATGTCACGAAATGGACGTGGCATCAATCTCAACCACTTCAAAAAATAAGTTTATTTCAAACCCCCGTTGAGCTGCACTGAGTCCACTGGAGAATTACGTGAATACGAATGGTGTATAAGCCAGAAATCCGTCTCTAAATTAAACCACACAATTCTAGCTCTGATCAGTTCGACTAAAAGGATGATGGAACACATTTTTATCACACTACCAACATCGATTGAAATTGTTTAGAACATTTTATGTTCCACTGTTTTTGACTGCCTGATTTTCATAGCTCAAATTTACGGTTTCGATCAGCAGACATAATTGGTTTATGAATGCTCACAAATCTTATCCTTTTGTCTTGGTCTTCGTGGCGGCAGTCAGTTATAACTGAAACTGACGATTTGATGTGTTGGATTTTTTTTAGTGGTTCTGTGGTTACTTTCACCTTGGTGTTTATCCCAATTCGCCAAGCTTTTGTTACTCGTCTGTCAATTTCAGCTGCAGTCATGCCTGTATGACATCGGAGAGCTTTCCGGGAAGTGTACAGTTTTTTCGTTGAACAGTGTCCCAGTGTTGTTTCCGTTTTGCTGAGAATTATTTAGCATAGCCTTTGCCTCAGCTGCCTGGATGGAAGATTCTGTTGTTTCCGGGTGTGTCTATTGATTGGCACCAACCTGGGTTCGTGAGTGATCATAAAATATGTTAAACTTGGAGAATTTCGAACATAGAGTGTACATTACCTAACAGTATCGTCAAATGAGATGTTGTTTTCTCCACAAAATCTTAAAAGCCTTTAACAAGCGACAAATATAAAGCTGTCTTTTTTCAGAACGGTTCGATAAACAGTCAGCGGGTTCATAACTGGACAGGGTTTCGCTTTTGACACAAAAGTTGAGGAAGTAAGCGAATTTTTCGAGTTTTAAAGCAGACAAAGAACGACTCAACAAGATCTATTCCGACTGAAACATTGGGCCACTGCTGATTGTCTGTACAAGTAGATTATGTGTGTGCATAAGCCTTAAGGCCGATGGGTCTGTCGTAATACCTTGCGAAACTCACACAGTATGTCCACTAATGGTTCCTTATCGTTACAGCGATTCGTCAGGCTGATATTCGTACGTATTAAGTTACGTCCACTGATTCAAACATTGGTCAAATTTAACCTTCAATCCATTGTTTTTCTGCTCAAACGAAGACGGTGAGAAAATAGGTCTAGACATATTGACGTATTAATGACAAGTGTATTTCGGGTTGAAAGTTGGCAGGTATGTTGTTAGTTGACAGAATCCTGTGTGCTTGTTTTCGAGTTCCGTATTTTTTCAACTTACTGTGTGAAATTCAGCCGACAAACATTGTATAAAATCCTTCTATGCAGTACTATCTCAGTGTAATTCTCCAATGGGCTTTCGGATATGCAGAACGCATCAGCTGTCTAGAGATGTCTACACAAGTCTCAAGAGAAACTTATAATCTACGGTTTTGAGACCAGACATTAAACTTGTTCACTGTGCACTCACAAAACCTCACTAAACGATGTTATAGAATTAGGTGATAAAACCATCTGGGTTGTTTCTGGGGCTACTTTCAATAGTTAGGACGTCTGTATCCACACTTTTCTGCTTCACGTCTATCAGAAAACGGAACAGGTGACACCCGTATATTCTAAACTATTGTATAGCTCACTCGGAACTGTCTAAGCTTCACAGTTGGCTGATTGCTTATTTCCAGAAGAGCACACCCAACATCTTAGGCTACAGATACGAGCGTAGGTTTTTCCAGCTAATTCGCTGATAATGATATGTTACAATAACAAAATGCCCTACGGCAGAAGTTTATCCAGACCACGCAATCGGTGTTGTAATAAGGAAATGGCAGCCTCTGTCCCGTGCCCGCTGTCCTTCCGAGAGACGTTTGTAAGGCATGTCAAGCTGCCCAATGCATAGGGTCAAGCAGCTACAAGGAAAGCCTGGAAACAAGAAGAATATGATAGTTTAATTGACCGTAAACCGCATATGGTATTACAGAGCCGTGGAACCTTCCGGGAAATAAAGTCAACTGGAGCAATTCCTGGGATCACTAACAGCAGGTAGAAGGATGCTCTGAAAATGACTTTCACGAATACGGAAGTCATTGTTTGGTACTAATATCACATTCTAAAACGTAGTATAAATTATGACACGGGTGATCCGCTAGGACGGTATTTAAAGTATAGCTCGGCTTTACAATTCCATGTGGGTAACATTTACTCTTAAATGTAAATGCCTTTTGTTGGAGGAGAAGAGAGGAAGAGTAGAGGAATTATAACAACAAATAGCTGAGTTCTGCTTCTCAGAATCATCGGCATCTTGTGTTCGAACGCAACCCTGATCAAGTGTCGCATAACGAATATTGCTTTCACAATCGCACATATCCCATCAAAAGCTTATTTTGATCCAACTTTCCTGCCAGAATGAGGGAGCATCCTACCTTAATTCTAATTTATGTATCTGAAAGCTAAAATAATTTGATCGATAAAAAAATACGTTAGAAAATAACTCGAATTGGGGGGACTGAAAAAATATATTACACTTTCTCTACTGAAGACAGAATCATATAGGCCATATCTTCAAACTAAGTTCTGAATAGCTTAAATAGTTTAGGCGTTGTGGGCTGTTGGTCCATGATGAAAATGGTTGCGGCTACACAGGGGATAAAGCAAAAGAAACGGTTGTACATTTCCGCCACTGAGTGTCGCCTGGACCTAGGTTGAAGTGACTGGCACTGAAACTAACAATACGGAGGACCAAAGACCAGACGGTTACGCACCCTTTGCCGTGACTGGTGTAAAAGTTATATGTCCTTCCGCTTGCGTGTGTTTGCTTGTTTTTGTGTGTGGGTTGCGCTGTGCTATATTTAATACCTGACCTTGGGACTGTCACGTGCCGCCTGTCGTGTTCGGATGGCCTTCATATGGCCAATTAGGCCGCATCAGAAGGCGAATAAAACAACACTATCCAAAATCTTCATTCATCTTAAATCCATTCAGTTCGCGGTAAAGCACGAGGCACCGTTATTGTGAAGTCTTTTTAAAATATGACCATTTTGACTCAAAATTTTACCTCAAATCAATCCAACCAGATAGCTACCTAAATCTGCCTATCCACGGAGTATGGGAAGAGCAATAACCCACACACACCTCACTGGACGAACAGTCACCCGATTCTGCGGTCAGCGTTAAGTAAACCACGGAGCGTGATCAGTGGTGATTCAGCTATGTGTTCTTACTTTCTCGCACGAATGAATGTAGCAACACAGTTACCTCATACAGTAATCATTTGGACTCAGGATGCTATCCTTGTTATGAGTTGATCGAACGGACCGAAACAACAGATGTGCCCGAACACATGGCTGGCTGCCATCCACAGCTGTCGGCTAACAATAGTTGACCTACTGGACCACTGCGCACATTAAGTAAAACACCGACGGTGGTACGAAGGAAGAAGCTCGGTGGTGAAACAAGCAGGGTCCTGCTGAGAGCTACTAGCCAGCGTGATGACATAGCGACAGGGATCCTCATTAGGTTTTTTGTGCCAAAGTCTGACGTCACACGTCTATCCTCCTACGTTCAGGCGGGGTATCGCACTTTCTTCTGATAAGTTCTCATTAATACCTTCTGGGGTATGTCCACAACACGCCATTAAGCTGAAGACAACGATGACATTTGAGATTAGGTAGTTTCCTCCTGGTGAGGCGAGTCTAGCCGCAAAGGTGAATCGCTCAATCAGATTTACGCGAGTATACGTAATACGACCGTACAGTGAGGGGAACTTTTGGAAGGCAATGGTTTTTGTAGTTAAGTAATTTTTGAAATGGTACTATTTGATTCACGGCGAGTTCATATGGAGAAGTCTGATCACGGAAGCAGATCATGGTGTCCTATATTATCTAGAGTTTGTTAAGGAAGTTGAGGTTGAGAAGAACCTTGTAAACCTGTTTCTGATCGACCGTACTGACGACACGACTTTACGGCCGAACACAAGTAGTAAGTAGTTAACCTATCTTCTCCCCAGTGCAGTGCTAACCCTAACGAGGATGAAGATTTCTATCGATTGGACCCCCTCATGAGGCTGATGAAATCCGAAGTAGGATTTACGCACAGGGACCGTCGTTTCCTTCCTGTCCCAC